AGCATCGATAGTTTCTTATTATGAAATGACAATTTTATTCTCATCTTTCTTAGCCTATCTATTTATTTTCATTGATGATGTATTTGAGACTTTATGTTATTCTTTCTTTTTTCATCTATACGGTATATAATGCGGCGTGTAATTTACGCTCGGTCTCGCAATTGACGGTAATTAATCTCACGCGGTTATGCAGCATCCTTTGCGTGTCATTGGCAGGCACGTACTTTACAAGTTAAAATGTAATCGACACGCCTAACGATCGATAACGAACGAATACCGCACACTACAGAGAAATCGTGTTAGGAGGTAAATGTTTGTTGACACAGGCACACCCAGGGCCTACTCTAAAAAGGGCGCGTGAGAATATTGGGCGATGTTTGAACAGCCCTCCTCAACGGAAAAACGTTAAAATGATTAAGGGTTATTTTTCAAGTCACGCCGAATATTACACATATGTATTACGGTTACGAGCTGTAACTGACAGCTTCCTTTCCGGTCATAAAAGCATGTGTGATGTCATGATCATAGGGGTGCTACTGAAAATATAATTACTCTTATGTATTCTTCAATTCTTTATTTATTTTTTTTGTTGTTGAGAAAAATAAATCTGAGAAATAAATTATTATAAATATTAGAAACAGACATTACGTAAAAATTGTTATAATTAATAATTATGTTTTTAAACGCGCTAATTAGATACTGTTTTAGAGAATTATAGAAATTTTATTATTTTATTGTATACACAAAATTTGGCCTTTATATCGATCGTTAATATTTGTACGACGATATGGGAAAAGGAGAATGAAATGATAAACCGCTTAAGATATTACGATGATTGCACAAAGCAGTATTTGTAAAACACGTTTAACAAAAATGGGCTTGGCAGCCCGAAGGGCTAGAAACGATTGGCGACTAACAATAGACCGATCGAGTTCGATACGTTGAATACCTCTCTCGTCTAGTATAACGAGCTCACCGACAAAGTGCCAACAAATCCCCCGCAATAATATCGCGGCAGATGCAAGTATCAGCTGCATCACCAGCGGCGCGCCGCGGCGGTCAATATACCATTTCGTAATAAGACATTTCTAGAAACTATTTTTCGTCATTTGAATCGTAATGATATGTAATTTGAATATCTACCATTCGACATATAGATCATATATTGAAGGTAAATTACTGTTTCGATTAATGTTATTAAGCGATTTGAATGATCATCTATTCGATATACAGATCGTATGTTGAAAGTATATTATTGTTTTGATTAATACATTATTACGACGTAACAACGTTACGCAATATTTCTGAGATATTTCGAGATGCTCAATTTAAGATATACGATGTGAATTTGACTGGAAATTTGTGGAGAGAACCAAAGTTACTTTATCGTATCGTATCGAAAACCGTGTTTTAGCTTTAGCCTCTGGCTCAACAAGAAATCATTATCTACATATATATTTTCTATGGCTTTATATTGTTCGGGTTCGGTACATCGTATACCTATATTTCCATCTCCCATGGGATAACATACGCCGGCATAGAATCGCGGTTGTATTAGCGGGAATCGATATTCCCCGAGCGCGATTTACTCTTTCGGTTTTACGAGTCAATTCAGACTCGTCCATGGTACATTAAATCCGCCCCAACGTGCCGCGTTCTTTCCGGTAGCTGTCATTTCATACGCCGTGATTCGTGAAGCCCACGCCGCCGTTACGGTGGCTGGCCGATCGGTGGCGAGTTGCAAGCTGCACTTAAGCTTGAGATAAGAGACCCTCCTGCTAGGCAGTTTTGCAGTTAAATCGGCAGGAAGGGTCCGCTGCAAGGCACGGTAACTGCAAGCGACTGTCTTATAACTTGCACCGTCCGTTGCAAGGTCTCGAGGCGTTTTCCGTAATAACGTGTCTAGACTGTGCCTGTTTTATGGTGTTTACGAGAGGTTGATCTTAAAAAAAAAAAAAAAAGATGATAATTTTGTTTATAAAATCAGAAATCACAATAATATAAAAATTTAAAAGAATTCCGCGAGAGAGTTTTCAAATATTCTAAAACACACTTAATACATATTTTTAATATATATGTATTTTCGTTAGTCTCTTTATTAAATATCGTGTATTATTCTGAATTATCAAATTTCTTATATCGCGCGGTATTGAAATAGCATATACAGTTAGGATAATACCTATTATATTTAAAAAATGTAAATTTTACACTAAGCCGATTTTGTTGCCGATCGAGGTCTTATTATCATACATAGCACGCATGTTACATGCAATTTCTAGATTCTCACGAGTCGCGTTGTTGTTTTCCATCATTTTGCTATGGCTAGCTAACATCGACCGTAAGATCTTGACATGAGATGAATATCGTATTCCCTATAATGCATGGGTCGGTCGTACCGCTGAATTCTGCATCGCGCACGAACTGTCTTTTGCATAGGTTATCGCGAGAGACCCGGGAATCCGGCACGAGGTGCGAATTTTTTTCAACGTGGCGAATATGGGAATCACGAAGATTCTCTCAAGAATAAAAAAAAAAAAAGTGTTGCAACGATTGTAATAATTTTTATAACGTTGTTCGTATTTTTATCTTATTCTGCATTATTATATCAAATTATCAATACAAGTCAAATATCTATGTGAGTCTCTGCAATTATTGGTACGTAAATTATGTATTCATGATGCGATAAGATATGATTCGCAATCAATTGGGGATTTTAGGATGCACTTACAAACAAAGTTAGAGTAAAGCAAACGTTTTGACTCTGGATTTGACTTCAACACGAAAGTCAATTCAAACATTACATAAGCACACATATAGGTGTGTGTTACTTATATTGGATTTATTTTTAGAATCACAAAAAGTTATTATTTTATTTTAATTACAATAACATTGATTTTTGCAATGATAATTTACATCACATTCTTTACATTCATCTGGATAAAAAGAAATGATTACGTATTACAGTCACGACAATAGTTTATTATTACATTATTCGATTACGGAACCTCTTAAATAAATTTAATCGCATAACTCTCGAAGGCTTTGGAGTTTCCCTTCCTTCGCAAGTAAACAGTTCGTCGAAACGTAAACACGTCCGTCGATGAATGAACCGGTCGGCAGGATTCCTGCTTTAAAATTCCTCCTGGCCGCGCGCCAGACAACTCATGCATATTCACGTGACTCGCACGAGCAGCGAGAATGGATGGCAGAGAAAAAGGGGTGGGTCGAGTGGGCCAGGGGCAGGAAGGATGAAATAAAAAGAGAAACGCGTTGATAATCGAGATCGGACGTGGTGGAGTGCCGCGTATGAAGCCCAGGCCAGGGACCCATGATTTCAATTTTAAATGCAAGTCCGCGAATCGCTGGCGCGAGGGTGGGATGAAAGTTCCAGCCATTGTGCTTATACGTATGCGCATTTCTATAGGAATCATCCTCCGGTATCCTCGAGCGGGTCTTAGTCGGCTTCTCCGCGATGCTGCGAGTCTAGTCATCGTGAAAATGCAACGAGATGCACACGCGATAGCGGCGATTCTCTCTTGTAGATCGAGATGATAAATTCTAGGGAAGATCGTGTAGGGGAAATTGGTTTGCGTTTCGATTCGTGCAATTTATGTTACATGATCCGCGCATTTTGAAAGTTTATTCTGGACGAGAATCGATTTTTTTAAGATCTCATTGCAATATGTAGATCGTGTCAATTTGTATTCGTATCTCATTTAAATTTATATCTTTAAAGTACGTATCTAGCGTTATTTTTAGAGTAAATATGAAAAATTAACATCACGTACACTTAATAAAACAAAAATTGATTAATAGGTTCAATATTGTGTTAATTTTATATTAAAATTATCGTATTTCTTGTTTAAATTTGTGAGTGTTCTAAATTTAAGCGAACGTCAGCACGAAATTAATTTATTATTTGTTCTACGAAACTAGATCTAATAAAAAAATACAACGTTCTGCTGTAAACATTAATTCGCAAACACAAATTTCCGACAACGCGTATCAATTATCGCTTCTTTCTTTCACCGTTTAATCATGCGCCACGCAGGGGGCAACAACGTTCCGATGCGCAGATGAACCTCGATTAAACGAATTAAAAGCTTGCTCGTGCTGAACACGGTAATTGGCTGTAGACGATTACGAGATAAGTCGCGCCAATTTCGGCAGCAGCACAGCAAAATCGTTTCGTTTAAATCGCCGTCTCGTCACCGTGGAATCGACCCACATGCCGCATTATATGCCCTCGGTCCCTTTTCCGCCAATCAGTGCTCGTTAAATTGCAAATTAATACAGAGACGAAGCCGCCGTCGAAAAATTGCAACGCGCGAATTTTGATCGAGCTTATCGATATTTATCATGGTGGACCCTTGTCCATTCGCACACAGGTTTTTGTTTGTTTTATAATTGAATAACAGCTCCACATTACTTATACATGAAGATAACATGAAGCTTTTGTTTGAAAAACAAAAGTCTGCGTGAATTTTACTGCATAATCTTTTAATAACGTTATCGTAAATTCGTTAATTCTATTCTCAATGAATTAATTTTACAAAAAGAAAGACAAAAGTTTGTGTGAAATAACATTAATTTGTTATTTTTTTCTCAATATACCAATGTTACCAAATGAGTAATACAAAGTACCTATATATATAATATATGTATTTTATTTATTGTCATACAAAGAAATACAATTTTATTATAACTTATACAATATTAGCAAAATTTTTTATAACGTTGTGAATAATAAATATAGCGCTATTGAGGATTATGTATATACATAAGTACATGTAATAGATACACATATGATCAATTCGTTAAAATTGTTTAAATAAAAATGAATTAATTAACTAAATATCGACTTGATATTATAAATAATAACTTTATTTATAATAGGCAGTCAATTATTCTATATTCTAATTGGATTTTCTTGATAATTGATTTGAGATAGTAGGTATACATTCTATACAATAATTACGAGTCATTTGATTACAAAAGTTTCATCTTATACGGCTGGGTTCTAAAACGAACAGTTGACTGTTCGTAGTTTTTTGTGCGTCTTGACGTCGCCGTCTGATTCTGGCAGCCAGGAGTGGCATAAATAAACTTGGATCGTGTTCAATATTATTTCCTCCTTGAATAAGTCGAACTATAATACTTGCTACGTATCCAACTACTAGTGTAATTGTCAGTCCCATAGGATTATACCATAAATAAGAGATACGATACAAATAGAAGTAGGATTCATCTGGTTGCTCAGTACTGCAAAAAAAAAAGAAATAATACGATTTGTGGAGAATAAATATTATAGATCATAATCTTGAAGGATATTTATACATAAAAATATAAACGTTAATAAAAAAATTGTTTTTCTTGTAATAACTTGTTACTTTCTCTACTTTCTCTTTGCTGTTTTGTAATACAAAATGCCTAATTAGCTAAACGTTCTGTTTTTTTTAATGATAAAAACTCAGATAAAAGTATTATTTGATTTACATACTCGATAAGTGCATTATTATCAATTATCTTCAAAATTATTTTAATTAAATCAGATCGTCCATCTTTACATCTTTTGCAGTCGGTGATCTTTCAATTTCTTGCCACGTTGAAAATAGACCGGTCAATTTAAACGAATTCCCGCCGACAAAGAGAAAGCTATAATATATCTAATCTCACTAATAACGACGCGGCGAGGATTCCGCGAGACAACCGTAATTTCAGTTTATTAACGGTGCAATTAGCGTTATTTACCACCGTGGGAATGCCGAATAGCAAGCTTATCGTCCATGAGAAAGCGACAAGCGTGAAAGAAATCAGGAAGCGGCGCTTAACTCGCAGCTAATTACAGTGAAACGAGATATCTCGGCGCGCATAGCAACATTGATGCTCTGTGAATTTCGAAGAGTCGCGATAAGACGATTTACAACGCGTCGATAATTCATATTCTAATCGTCACGCGATGCGCGCTATGCATCGTCTGGCTATCCCCCCCCCTCCCCCCTATCTGTTTCCCTAAGATAAATTTATGCTCATTCGATTCGATCTGTGGAGAGCGAGATAAATTGCTGGCAATTGCAAATATATATTGCATTTATTCCCGATAGTGCTGTAATGCGAATATTTGAGCATTGCGCGACATCCGAGGTGAAAATTTTAGTTTGAAAAGGAAATGTTTCGTATCATGAATGAATGTCTGAAGTATTAAATTTTTATCAATCTTTCCAGTGTACTTGAAAAATATATACAGACATTAGATGAATATAATTATTATTTAGAGTAAGAGAATAAATTTAAAAAATTTAAATAAGATGAAAATATTCAAGGACTCTTAGTATAACAATAATTAATACAAATAGAAAGGGCGATGTAAGAGTCAAGTAAAATTTCATTTAAAAATAATACAATATATATATTTAATTTCAAATTTTAAAAAATAATAATAAAATATAAATATAAAAAAATATGAATATAAAAAATGAAAAATATATTAAAAATAGAATATATCAAAAATTACTTAAAAATGACATGATGGACATTGCGTAACAAGTTTCGGCTCTCGGATTGAGCCCTCCTCAGACATTAAAAAACGGCGGCTAAAATCATTCGTCAGAAGATCGGTCATACTCTATTTTAATCATGCGAGTCTTCACAGAAAAATGACATTTTGGTTATACATGATTGAAAAGTCAATGTACCATATAACAATATCTCTGAAATGATGGTAAAAAACTTTCCTTTTAAATGTTAAACAAATTGTGTCAAAATTTCTAAAAGAAAACTCACCAAGAGAATTGAACGATAATAATGTTAATTTAGTGTTTTATATATATATTTATATTTTTTTATATTTATATTTTATTATTATTTTTCAAAATTTGAAATTAAATATATATATTGTATTATTTTTGAATGAAATTTTACTTGACTCTTACATCGCCCTTTCTATTTGTATTAATTATTAAAAAAATTTAATAACTCGCGCGTGTCAGTGAAATTAATGTTCGTGCGTTTTGAATTAATTTATTTTCAAAGATATTTGTAACATAATTTCTTTTTCGTATATTTTTTTTCTTACTATTTGGAAAAGCGATTTGAATTAAGTAATAATTGTTAATTTCATCAAATTTGGAAATATTATATATGAATTTGAAATAATACATATAAATGACATAAATTTAAAACTTTAATATTTTTTAAAGAAGTGTTATTCTAAAGTATTATTTAAATGCAATTTTTATACACTGTAATAATCGAAAAACAATGAATGCAGCTTTTAGTATTTGCAAAGTTCGAATACCGATTGAATATCGATTTTTTCGAGAATAGATATTTTACCTGTTAAAATTCATTTGTTCAGCAAACATCAATGTCGTCGAATTTGCACAACCTTCGATCGACACCGGTAACATCGGAATTGGTGGTTTAGGTCGTCCAAACGTGCCCCACAAGCAAACGTTGAGCGCCGTAAGCATGCCAATAATAGTTCCAATCTCGTTAGCGCCCTCAGTGAACATTCCAAGAGTAAAGATACCTAAAATCGGCCCTCCGATAGAGCCATGAATGCTGAAGGCAACAGATGCTAGTGAGCCCATTGTCTTTGCTATTAATGCCAAAAACATGCAAATAACGCCATTTAAAACGGTAAGAGCTTTAGCGATGAAAGTAGCCTTTTTGTCAGTAAAATCTATTCCAAATTTTCGATGTAGCGGCTTCACATAATCCTCGAGCGCTACCGCGGCTAATGAATTCATCATAGCGGAAATTGTACTTAGGCTAGCGCTGAAGATACCGGAAACGATGAGACCAACTACTCCTGGTGACAAGTTCTCCACAGTGAAGTAAGGCAATATTTTGTCGTAGGTCGAAATTTTTTCGGACATTACGGGATCGCAATCTTTGTAGCTCGTGTAAATTGACAATCCGGTGAAGCATGTTAAAAAGCCTACCAGTAAAATGAATGGCCCACACAAAAACAGCGCATGCGTGGCTACTTTTACGTTTCTGCGAAAATAACAATTAATTATTGCATGTACAATAGCAAAAATTCGAGCAAAAATTTTTAACAAGTATCAACAATATAAAATTAAAAACAATGGTAATTAACAGTAAACAATTTTAATTGTTTGCTTATATTTCATTTTATTATATTGTATATTTATATTTATTTAATTGAAAATTTGGTTATTGATAACAAATTTTAAATTTATTAATTTTTGATAACAAATGATCTTTAGATTTTTTAAAATAAACATAATAATGAAAAAAAAATTATGCGTTATTAAAGCTTAAATAAAAGAAAAAACTCCGATATTTTATAAATATGTTCACTATGAAATACTCATTGACATACTTAACGGTCATTAAACGTTGAACTTGCACCTGATTGACCGCAACATAGGCTAGATGTATTAATCCTCCTCCGATTAAAGTACTCCATACTGTGTATTGCACAGTTGGATCTATAGTCCATCTAAATAAGAAAGGATTATTAACATACCTATTCTTTTATTTACTTTATTATTTATTATATTGTCATATCCAATTTACTCAGAGAAATTTATCCGTTTTCCTTCTTGTCCGATACGCCAAATGGTATCGATTCCTCCGTCGATGTTTTGCGTGACGATGAAGACGATGATAATAAGAGCAATTAGCATAAGCAAACCCTGGAAGATGTCGGTGATCAAAACCGCTTTGATTCCACCCAATGTGGAATAGGAGGTACATATTACAGCGAGTACCAAAATACTCATAGTACTAGACAAGCCCGTGGTAGCTTCGAGAGCTAAGGAAGGAGCGTACAGCATCACTCCGGTCAGTAACATCGTCTCAGAGAAATTAGCCGCGCTTACGAGCAACCGCATGTACAACCCAAATCGCTTTTCGAGATACTAAGAAAAAGGAGAAATTTAATAAGACAATGGAATCATATTACAAATAGTCCGGAAAATACCTATATTTATCCCAAATACATTTAACAATAATGAATTTAAAAAAGACTTTAAAGATCAAATCGTACAAAAGAAAATAATAATAAAGCTAACGTGAATTGATACAGTTGATCGTATGTGATAAAACGCATGTATTAATCAAATACAAGTATTTGATATGTTTGTATACTCATCAATTGAAAGGTTTTGCAATACTGTTTCCAATAGGTTGTGGAATACAGTCTGTTCATCGATTGGTTCTTACTGATTCATTTAGATTCAACCCGAGATTCAATCCCTCTACAGCAAGATTGAATTCCGAAATCCATTGAAAAGAAAGTGTTGCAATCTGGTGTATTTGGTGGATTAATATATGCATTTTATCACACTCGATCAACTATATAGGCTCTTATTGGCTTTAAGATTTTTTTACAAAATACAATTCTTATGACCTATTCTTATAACATAAAGTTTAGATACAAATTTATTATATCTATATACGATATAAGTTATTTTTGTTGTTTTTCAAAATCTTTTAAAAAGATTCTATTAATTCCTATTTTCAAATTAATTTTACATTCTGCACCGTTTTTCTATTTAAAACTTGGCAGATTAATATATTCGATTATATGTTTACGTATTAAACGATACAACTGATTATCTCCGAAGAACATTGAAATGTTGCTTAAACTAATAATCGATGTTGCTCGTGCAAGCATCTGACAATTACCTCATAGATGCTTACGACTTTTAACTCAAAGAAGACTGGTAGATAACAAGTGGCAATGATCGGTACGGTGATAATGCCGGAAGCATACATCAACGAAACGATCAGACCGCGAATGTAAGTTTCCCCGCTCATTCCGAGCATGGTAATTCCTGATACATGGGAGGCCATCATAGCGATCGAGAGAGGTAAGACACCTAACGAGTTGTCCGCAGAGAAGTATTCCTATCGATGATAATTGTGCGATTGGTTAAATAGTAATTTTCTACACAGGAAACATCGTTTATGATGCGTAACGTTTCCATAAAGAAACTTTTCATCCTCATTGTCGTGATAGGTAAAATTAGTAAATCTCGATATTGTTCTGTTTTTAAAGTCCTTTTATCATAATTATTTAATCATATTAGCCAGTAAAATACAAATCTGTCTGTAACTCATCAATTAAACAATCACGTTTTTAATTAAAATGTTAGTGTAAATCAATCTTTGATAAAATTATGAAGAATTACACATTTATATTTTAGAGTTATCTTCTACGCTGCAAAAAAAGATTGACTGAATATGGCACTGCGTTTTAATTGGCTGCAGCAGTCAATTAAAAATGCTATGTTATATTTTATTATATCATTTAAATTATTACAGCAGCCAATCGTTTCTTTCACGTAATCTCGAATTTTATGAATTTATGGAACTATCCAATATTTATAAGTGCTTTTTCCTAAGAATATATGAGAAACAAGATAAGGAACTACGTGGTTTATACTAACTAATACATTAAGCGATCAAACGCGTTTTAATTCATAATTATGATAAGTTTGAATTGATCTATCACTCGACATTCAAAATTTATAGATCATTGATTAGCGCTTCTCGAGTTATTGAGTTGAATCGTAACGACGGTTAATTAACACGTCAAATACTTAGAAAATTGGTTGAGATATAATTTATTACCGATACTCATAATTTATGCGGATATTTATCGTAACATGAAATCGATCGTATACATAACGGCATAGATATAATTCGCGTGCAAATTATTGCGATCAGACTGGTTTAATGACGAATTGATCCGTATAGAAATTGATTTTTTGTAAACTGACCGTGGCAGTACTTTGTCGACCACCGCTGAATCGATAGTAGAGCCCGATAATGATGGAAACCGACATAACTGCGCTGATCACGAGATAGTCTTGCCATTGCAATCTGTTAATTTCGCCTTCAATAGGTGTCTATAAATAAGAAAAAAACAAATCTTTTTTACTACAATTTCAAAATGCATAATAAAAATATTTTAAACATAGTTTTTTAACATTTAATTTAACTTTTAAACATATCTGGCTAGCAATGTTAAACTAATAGCAAAGTTCTTTTTAAATACTTCAAAATTTATAACCAAAATTGTAATAAATATATTTCGTAAGATAATCATTTGTATTTATAATAATTATATAGTAATTATGTACTTACATCCATTCTGTAAAATTTACACCATTTACTTGACAAAATATTTAACTTCAATCGTACTATTTAAAATTTGGAGATTTTCACCAAAATAAAAGATTTCCACAATTTTTTTTACACTTTGAAAACACCAAGAGCACGAAGATCCAAATGTCATGAGTATTCGACAAGGTCTTGCTAACGAATGTATCCGTTTGCGTCGCATGATACAAAACGCAAGAGAAGTTATTACGTAAAGAATTGCTCGGCATATTTAGTGTTAAAGCACGCAAACCACAGATTTCATCGGTAAATTAGACTTCACAATATATAATAAACGTGGTAACATGTTGTTCTATGTTAATTAATAGTTAGATAAATAAAAAGTTTATCGACAATACTGTGAATATCAGTGAAAATAGAAATTGAGTCTCAAAAACAAATATGTCTTAATATGTTTATTAGAAATATACATATATATGTGTACATATAAATATATAAAAGATTTGTCGCATGTATAATATAAGAAAGTTTTTTAAATCAATAGATTTACGAATGTTGGGATCATTAGCTGTAATATTAGATGTACCGGTTGAAATACATTGAATCCTGAGGAAAGATTAAATGGCGATTATTGGATAAGACTCAACCTTAATTTAATGTACTGTAGACGATATCGTTTAAGATGATTATCTTTACACACTAGTTGGTGCGATGGATCAATTCACTTAACAGCGATGAAAACGAAAAGAGATAGATAGAAACTTCGAATCGATATATACATTTAATCCCAACGTTAATTAAATAACAAACATAATTAAATCTATCTAAGAGATCATGTCTTCGCCAATATTATACCGGACAACGTTTATATTTCCAGCACACGCAATTAAATTTTTGTTTGAACTGGTTATGAACAGGTTTCCCATATTTATTTTCTGATCTTAAAATGTAATAATACAGTTTATACTTCTTAAAGATGAAAAGGTAAGAATTAAAATATATTCGGTAACATAATAATACTGTATGATGATAAAATAAGAAGTAGAAAAATTTATTTCGCGGAAGACATATGAAAGCGGCGGGCGTGATTTCTGTTACATAACTGCAGTTACACATCGACATAATAATTATCTGTGTAATAATACTTTATCATAATGTCGATGTCTTTAGTATTACGGTGCTAAATACTATTATTTTAGTGCCGAAGAGTAATTGCAAAAAAATATGAATAATCGATGGTAGGGAAACAGTATTTAACTTCAGACTTTTTTTTTCAAAGTTGTGATATATGCATGATCAAATACACTAGTTACCAAGTAACTTTCGTTTATATTTCCATGAATGGAAGTTATATCATTAAAGATTCGGAGAATTAAGTACGTTCTTTTTAACATTTGGAAGTACTAAGGAAAACATATCCATTATCTTGTTCACTTTGGAGCGTATTTGGTTATCTTATTTAAATTTATTTCTTTCGACACACAGTTAGTTATGTGGCACAATAATAGTTAATGACAATCCCATTTAAGCGTCGACTAATTTCCGACATTGTTACTGGTTTGTCGACCGCGTTGTTTTACGCGAATAATATTGCCGATGAAAAAGGGGAAAAGGACTGCGGACAAAAGAGAAACAGGGAGAGAGAAAGAGAGGAGGATAGAATGAGGGAGAAAAAGAGGAACTCGTAAGTGGTGAATTCCCGTCATTAAGTCGTTAGCCGGACGACAGCAAACTAACTGTCGGCTAACTGGCTGCTGAACTTGATCGACCAATCGTTGACCCCCACGGTCAATCGAAATTTACCGTGTGTTAACTCTTGTTCCATGTAATTCTTCCATATTATCCGGATGCGTAGACTGCTTTCGATAATTTGATGAGGGAAAATATCGCGGTCGTGAAGCAACTGTTCAATTTGAAGTGCAGGGGTTAATGTAAATTTTGTTCGCGAGTCAATTATTTGGAAAGCTACGTGTTTCCGTACGTGATCTATAATTGTCTTCTTGTACTATATAATTAGGAACTTGTAAAGAGATATTTCATTTTTGAGGTATTTATAACGAAATGTGTTTTGGTTATTTTTTGTTCTTAAAAAGACATTTTTTTCTTTCTGAGGATAACGTTTATATATTCCAATACCTCAATAAAAGTTTATCTATGTAAATTATAGTCAAACAGTAGCGAGGTACTAATTGCTCTCGCTCGTTATATATATGTGATTATATATTCTCAGAAGCATTCGACATCAAACTTTTTCACACCATCGTGTATACCCAGGCATTAACGTCACCGTTTCAACGAAGGTGTTAATTAACTTGACGTACATTTAGCGAATCTCGTTGGCATCTTGAAGTTTGTGAAACATATAAATCCAGAATTTCATTTCTCTTTCAATGTCAATAAGGCGAGGTATTTCAATCGTGCTATTAAATAAATCTATAATATAGATTAATTTTGTGCTATCAGGATTTTAGTTTTATTCTTTGACAAAATAAAAAAGATTTTAGTTTGTCTCATAAATAACTTATTTACGCAAAATTGTGTCTTTTCACAGAGCAAGAACATATTTTTATGATAATTAATTCAGATTATATTTAGAATAGATTATATCTACAGTTACTATTTTATAAATAATGAATAAATACTAAATAATGCATTGTAATTCATTGTGCGGACATGAAGATATATATTTTGCATCGAAGAGGTGTCGGAAATTACTGTTATTCGATTCGCCTGAAAATGTAAGTCGATCTGATAATGCTCGCAAGTGAGCCGATTCCTATAATTAATTCTAGTCATTAATTAATAACGAGATGACTGATGCATGTTTGTGATATTCGACTCAATTCGTGCGTGATGCCACGCTTCGTCTACCGTGTTGATTTCGTGCTCTTAATTAATCCAATATGTTTAACATGAGGGGAACGTAATAATCCACCAGGATCAATTCTCAGAATTAATTCCTTTAGGAACATTTTTAGGAAGATTAAATATGTATTTGACAAATAACGATGTAATAAAGCGATTTGTGGTATAACAAAATATAATGCAAAACAGAGTCTTTTCTATAAAGTTATTTTTAAATTAATTCACGGAAAAGATATTTTTGCATCAAAATTTGTTGAGGAAACGTTATGAATCTGTTGTTATGATACTTGGCATTAGATTGTCGTAAAGAGTCTACATTGTGACTCATAGAATCATATAGTCTTATACAATATCTTTTTCATCTTTCCCGTTGACGAAGCGTTTCTACTCACGTATAACGTTTATTTAAATTATCTGAGCTCATCAGGCATCAAATTACTGCTATCAAGTAAATTTTTATCACGTTTATTTGAATCATTATGAATGTAAAAACTGTTATCATCACGTTATGATCTAATTTTTGCTTGAGTATTTATGCTTTTCTTAGTATCATATTTTCTTAGTACCATATTTAATTTATTTACATTGATCTATGCACGGAATGTATTAAGAAAAATAATTCATGACTTTTCGTAGACTATTATATTTTAACTCATGTAAATAAATTAATACACGTGAAATCACAGAGGGACGTGCGATTAAAATTAAAATAAATTATCTCTAAAATTATCTCTCTAAAAAATGATCGTATTGAATATTACGAAAATGTTTAATTACTGGCATTAATAACAAGCGTTTTGATTTATGTAAAAAGATTTGGAATTACGGAATATCAGAATCCTTTATACAAAAAACATCTAAATATTGACTCTGTCAGCATTTTAACAATATTGTTAAAATATTCAAAGACAATTTTTAATATTATTATTTCTTTGAAATGTTGATTTGCAACGCATTTAATATTAAATAATATTAAATAATATTAAATACGCATATATAAATGTGACATGTTTGTGATACGAGATATTATGTTTTTCTCACATTAATTACGTATATCGTGGAAGATTCCATGGATTAAGCCATTCTAAAAGTTTGTATTAATATAAGCAACCGTTAGTCTTCATCAAGTCGCGCAAGTGTCAATTGGTTCTCTCTTGATATCATCGCATAGTTCCTCATAACTCCAAGATGCGGGCTTCGCTATGAATTCCAAGGCACGATAAAAAAATATGGGTCTCTTATGGGTGCGGCATGTAGTGCGTTATCAAAGCTATCAATTAAGTTAATTAACAAAATCTTGCGCTCTTCTTTAGGAGGTAAATGAAACGCCTCGCAAAGGCCTTTTTATTATACAACACACATATCGTTGAGCGATAAACTTGCTATGGAAAGTAGAATATGACAAGACCGCGTATTAAAATTCCTGTACGCGTCGAGGTGCTGGTTAACATGATTAACGAAGTGTGGCGAGCGACAATTTTTCGGAATGTGCCAATCTACTGTGATGCCATAGCTTAATGGATATTCGGAATCGATAAACTACCAACGTTAAGAAAATTTGCATGTAATACAGTTTGACGTTCTGCAACTGCGAATATTGAATCGGAATCAGTGAAATTCAATATCAATTTGAAACAAAGGAAAAGGGTGCAATTTATTAACATTGAGTATTTTTATAAGTTTAATGTGCATCTCTTCCGCGATATTTATTTGATCGATTTATCCTATGAATCATTAGTGTTATTAATTACGCATTAGTGTGAATGTTATTAAGAATTAATAATGATTGCAAGGATTATCGATTTATCTCAATTATGAAGATAATTGGATTTTAATTAAGGTTCAAATATAAGATTTTAAAAAAATATGAAGT